TCTGGCTCGTGTCCTGATGTTTGTGTGAATGCACACAGGTTGACCATTGCATGATGTATATATTAAATATTTTAATTTGATAAGCGCAGAAGTATATATCTGCACTTCTCTATTATAGGATAACTAAATTGTAATGTGAAAATCTGGCTCGTGTCCTGATGTTCGTCTGAATGCACAGATTGATCATTGCATGATGTATATATTAAATATTTTAATTTGATAAGCGCAGAAGTATATATCTGCACTTCTCTATTATAGGATAACTAAATTGTAATGTGAAAATCTGGCTCGTGTCCTGATGTTTCGTCTGAATGCACACAGATTGATCATTGTATATATAAATATTTTAAGATAAGCAGAAGTATATATCTGCACTTCTCTATATATAACTAAATTGTAATGTGAAAATCTGGCTCGTGTCCTGATGTTTCGTCTGAATGCACACAGATTGATCATTGCATGATGTATATATATAAATATTTTAATTTGATAAGCGCAGAAGTATATCTGCACTTCTCTATAGGATAACTAAATTGTAATGTGAAAATCTGGCTCGTGTCCTGATGTTCGTCTGAATGCACACAGATTGATCCATTGCATGATGTATATATTAAATATTTTAATTTGATAAGCGCAGAAGTATATATCTGCACTTCTCTATAGGATAACTAAATTGTAATGGAAAATCTGGCTCGTGTCCTGATGTTTCGTCTGAATGCACACAGATTGACATTGCATGATATATTAAATATTTTAATTTGATAAGCGCAGAAGTATATATCTGCACTTTCTATAGGATAACTAAATTGTAATGGAAAATCTGGCTCGTGTCCTGATGTTTCGTCTGAATGCACACAGATTGACCATTGCATGATGTATATATTAAATATTTTAATTTGATAAGCGCAGAAGTATATATCTGCACTTCTCTATATAGGATAACTAAATTGTAATGTGAAAATCTGGCTCGTGTCCTGATGTTTCGTCTGAATGCACACAGATTGATCATTGCATGATGTATATATTAAATATTTTAATTTGATAAGCGCAGAAGTATATATCTGCACTTCTCTATAGGATAACTAAATTGTAATGGAAAATCTGGCTCGTGTCCTGATGTTTCGTCTGAATGCACACAGATTGACCATTGCATGATGTATATATTAAATATTTTAATTTGATAAGCGCAGAAGTATATATCTGCACTTCTCTAATAGGATAACTAAATTGTAATGTGAAAATCTGGCTCGTGTCCTGATGTTTCGTCTGAATGCACACAGATTGATCATTGCATGATGTATATATAAATATTTTAATTTGATGCGCAGAAGTATATATCTGCACTTCTCTATAGGATAACTAAATTGTAATGGAAAATCTGGCTCGTGTCCTGATGTTTCGTCTGAATGCACACAGATTGACCATTGCATGATGTATATATAATATTTTAATTTGATAAGCGCAGAAGTATATATCTGCACTTCTCTATAGGATAACTAAATGTAATGTGAAAACTGCTCGTGTCCTGATGTTTCGAATCACAGATGATCATTGCATCTGTAATATAAATATCTAATTTGATGCGCAAGTATATCTGCACTTCTCTATAGCCAAAAGTAATGAAAATCTGGCTCGTGTCCTGCATGATGTTCGTCTGAAGCACACAGTTTGACCATTGCATGATGTATATATATAGTCTTTCACATGATCATGATCATGCCTGCAGGCTACTTGTTTCGTGTAGAAGCGGTCAAGATCCACTTTCAATCCCGAAAGAAATTGGCGCGCAATCCCATCACGCCAAGGAAAAAGAGAAGAATGTGCATGCGAAGCAGAAGGGAAAGGGTATGTCAAAATCGTTTTCCAGAAGAAGCAACGATACGTTTAATATAATTTATTCCGTTGATAATGACTTTTTTGTTTGTGTGACTTATTAGTTGTTGGAAAGGCGATTAAAAGTTGTAACAGATGAAGAACAGGAAGAATTTGGCGCAATTCTGAAAGTAGGGTACATGTCAGAGGATGAAGATGACACTGATGGGGAAGGTTGGCGCCACTTGGAATTGCCTTGGAGAGCGAACAATGTGACGCAGTTCCTTAGGACTTTGGACAGTCGAATTAAGGATACGAAGAAAGAATTTATGAAAGAACGGACAAAGAGAACCAGTTCTGGGTTATCTTTTAAGAAAGCGCCTAAAGATGCTCCTACATGGGCTGTGAAGCAATCTCTGCGGACAGAATTTAATAAGTCAGCCAGTGCATCTCGTGGGGGAACTGCGTTACGGACGCGAGGAGGGAGGGGTGTAAGAACGCGCGGAGGTGTGCGACGATCTATTTCGTACTCTGCAAAAGACGTACTTAGCTCTTTTACTGATTAATCTGTATATCTGCAAATTAAATGGCAAAAAATTACTTTAGAAAATGATGTGTTTACATGCATGAATTGAGGTTGCAACAGAATAATATTCGGGATTTTTTGTATACTATTTTTGGTTTACTAGTAAGTAATTTTTGAGTTAAGTGCATGTTCATCATTATAGCTTAAGATTTGATTTCCACTACAACTACAGTATAAGTATCAGTAATCGATTGATTTCGTGATTGCATAGTTAGTGTGATAGAACTATCGTATTTGATTGCATGGTTTCCTTTATTTGTGGTATGGTAGTGGATTGCAAGTCTAAACCGTGCTTTAAATGTGGTAGGTGCTGTTTACTTTAAATGTGATTGATTCATTCGTAGTCACATGACTTTCAAAAAATGCAATGTTTCCCGTCTGGGAAACAAGTGAAAAATTTTTGCGTGCATATTGTCATAGCAACGTTTTTTGAAAAGAAATTGTCGTTATGCAAAACTCACTATTTCCCTCTGGAGCATACATTAAGTGTATATTGTGTATAGGTGCTGTATATTATAAATGTGATTGGTTCATTCGCAATCACATGACTTTATATAAATGCAATGTTTCCCGTGATGCAGGGAAACAAGTGAAAAATTGATGCCCGTATATTGTCATAACAAAGTTTTGTGAAATGAATTGTCGTGTAACATGAATGTTTTTCCTATGGCAAAACACTTAATGTACGCTACACCTCGGGAAATAGTATGAGTTTTGTTTTCCCTCGAGTCTTACTTTAAACATTCAGACTCTTGGGAAAACAAAACTCACTATTCCCTCGGGAGCATACATTAAGTGTATAATATACAGAGGGTGGTAAAAAAAGAAGCCCCCAACGAAATGTAGCACACATGTATCTTTTCACCATTAATCTATAAATGAAGGTAGCAGAAATAAAAATTATGTGTTTGAGCATAATATATTTCCTCATTATTATATTTATTATATTTATATCTTCTATACTCATTATGTTTCATCTGGTAGGGAATATCTATCAGTCTGCCAAGCATTTTTATACTGCTTGGACTTTAAATTCGTATAATCAATTTCTTTAAACTTGGTTATTCGGAATAATTTTTCTGCCCGCCTGTGTGCATGATCATGAATCGTTTCCCACCAGCTTATATATAGTTGATTCATAAACTGCGGATGATGGACAATACAGTAACGATCAAAATGGAGATAAAGACCTTTGAAAGTAGGATACCTATTTCACCCATTATAACCCCCTTCGGAAATTTCGTTACGAAAATTTGAATTCGCAAAGAGAAATATTACTTCCAAACATAATTTCGTAATTAGGGACAGACTTTTACTAATCAACGATATTTGAAATCGGCCGGACTCGGCGAGCTTTAATCGCTAAATTTATCTACTAGGTCTTATATGCCTCTTTGCGTAGAACGCACAATACATCGGAGGTTGCAGAAGGCTCGGCGGCAAAACTTCCATTCAACATTTAAAATTCTTCATGTTATATGCTACTTTACTTACCCTTTGTAACATTTCGAGTTTGGTACTTGGTAACATTTTTTGCAAGAGCGCCTGTATCCATTTGTCAACGAAAATGCATGACAATATCTATCTGAATATCAGAGAAATCTTGTACACTTTATGCACCCAAAGATAATCTTGCTCTATACGATTATCAGGGCTATTGGTCATTTATATAATGAAATGAAAGTCTAATAAAATGAATGTACAAAAAATTTTGTACTAATTCAAGTGAATCACATTGTAACTAACATGACGTGCAAGGCTGTATTTAGCAAAATATACGCATAACTCAACAACTGCTATCCCGACGATATTCTGCCACGGAATATCAGGTGTATTTTATTCCGACGTATTCTGCGCGCAATACTACCAGTATTCCGGAAATATTCCGAAGGAATACCCCAGAATATCTAGGAATATCAAGAATATTCCCGATCATATTGCGTGGTATAGAGGGCGGAATATGCGGCTTTTCGCCCAGTGCCTGGTATGAAGCGGACCTTTCTTCATATTCCAAAAGTTCAAGCTTTTCAATTGATAAATGACGCATTTTTCATACTCAATAATAATGATGGTGAAAAATGCCCAAATACGAGTCCGATAAAAAAGTTAGTGAAAATTGCATATTTTATGGACGATTTAAAAAATAAGATAACGTAAAACGACGGTTGAAGTCGGGTCTAAATGAAGTCGGGTAATGAGAGCAATATCTTCTAGTTCCGAAAAAGTGCAAAGACGATGAGGTTTTTTAAATATTAAAACGTCAACGAAGAACAAGCAATTTGGGTTCATGGTCAGAAAGCTTTGGTGAAACCTAAGCATAGGCTTAGGGTGGGTTTCAGGGTGAGGAATTGGTGTATACACAGGTTAAATACATGTGGGGGGGTTATTTAATAATAACGTACGGTGTTTAACATTGGCTAAGTATAGCAAGTATTAACAAGTAACATAATATAGAATAGTACTATTGTTAACTATATGACTATATATGACATATATATATATATATATATATATATATATATATATATATATATATATATATATATATATATATATATATATATAGTACCTTTTCTGACACTTTGTAACACTATGTTTTCGATACCACATATGAAAGAGCAGATCAAACTGAGTACTCTGTACAAATATAAAAAAATTGCAGGAGTAGGAACATGTTTTTTTTTTCAGTTTTTTGAAGCTACCTGAAAGCTACAGTAGGAGGCAAAAGTTTGAGTCCAGTGACTGTATTTCATTGTTTTAGCAGCATATATTAATTTTCTACAGAAAACCTTACTGAAAAGAGAACTAGAAAAAAGTAAATAAGTGAACTGAAAAAAAATGCTGCACAACAACAATGGGATGTTATGATATTCATTTAACGTATGTTAATGTGCAAAAATTCATTACATGTCAATGCTTAGTATCCCTCTTTTTTGCTCTTGAAACGGCCTTTACTCCTGCTGGCATAGATTCCATAGGTTTTTTAATGTCGCACGTTCAATACTTTGCCAGCATTCGTCGACCACTTGCCTCAAGTCATCCTGGCTGGTGGGTCTGTGCCTCGCCCTTTTCCGGTTAAAACCGTCGTAAAAGTGTTCCATAAGTTTTAGATCTGGAATTTGAGGTGGAAAGCCATGAGAAAGAGATCACCAGAACGAGTTTGCTTCTAAAAGATTTCTGGCACATAGGAGATGTGCATATCTTTAGGGTGATTATCATGTAGTTAGACGCGCGATCATCTTTGTGCCAGATGAAATTCCATGTCCTTGAAGAATTGGATGATACTTTTCTTTAATTAGGATCCTATTATATCTTTCAATATTGCCAAACCCAGCATGACCGAAGCAGCTAAAAGTTTGCTTCAGTAGGATTTAGTTTCTTCGAATTTCTCCAAGGTTAGTTGCATACGACCTTTTGAAATTCTCACTTTTTCTGCGATCTTACGAGGAAAGAATTCTTCAATACTTAATGCAACTATTTGTCCTTGTGCACCATCACTTTGCCCTTTTTCCCACCCATCCTGAGTTGTGTAAAGGAATGAGAACTTTATTTTGTTATAATTTAGATCAATAGGACCAAAACAATGTGCAATTAATATGGTTTACAGTATTAAAACACTAGCACGCATGTCTTAACTCGAATACACTGCCAGGATTTAATACTGGAATTCTACAACAACTGGACTCAAACTTTTCCCCCTACTGTATCTTTGACAGGTATCGGAAAATGACCTGTACTTTATGAGCTTTTGCACAACGAATATTCACATTTGTTATTTCATTCTTATACCATTTTAAAGCTCTTTCTTTGGTCATTAAACTGTGGTAGTTTCAAAGAAAACGGACGTTTAATTTTTGAACGCGAGGCGCTCGAAGATGCACCGTCGGAATTCAATTTATGACCGAAATTTCGGAACAAAAACTTTAAACGCACAATTTGGGTTTAATTTTTTTACGCCATATATAGCGTTTCGAATGCACTTTTTACACTCCTAGGTACCTTTTTTCTGGTCTTTCTTTTCGCTATAATTTCACTCAGTATTCGTTGCTATTTTTGCCGTTAAAATTATTGCAAATGTTGACCGCTATAAAATTATTTCCCTGCTGCCATTGTGAATTATGCGTCCTTCTTCTTCGGCGTTGTTTGCCCGTTGTACGCGTGTTTGTTACCTTGTTCTTACTTTGTTTTAAAGCTATTTCTCAGCTTAACAAACTGTGCGAGTTTCAATGAAAACGGACTAGTACTTTTAGAACGCCCGCTGTCAAAGATGCACGATCAGAATTTATTGTATAGCCGTATAAAAGTTTTAAACGAACAATTTTGTTTTAATTTTTTCACGCTATATATTTCGTTTCAAGTGTTCATTTTTACATTGTTAGGTAGAATTTTCACTGGTCTTTCTTTTCGCTATAGTCTCATTCAGTATTGAAAGCTATTTTCGCTGTTAAATTTTTTTTTAATTTTGACAGCAATAAAATTATTCAAGTGCAGCTGTCTTAGATTAGAGGTGGTTCTTCTTCGGCATATTTTAGCCGTTTTAGACTACATCGTAAAATAATTTTTGCCACAATTGTAGACGCATATTCAGTCAATAGAACCGCTATAGTTTTAGCCTGGAGACTCTGTCCAATTTATAGAAAAATCTCTGTTTCAATGTAATTTTTGAAAAAATGATATATCAAATTTTACCCCATCTCTTTGCAGGGTATAAAATTTGAAATACTTGATCTACAGACTTGTAACTTTGTAAAAATTCAGAGGGACATGAGAAAACTGTATTGACACTTTCAGACTGACAGTTTTAAAAGCAATCCCAAAATGCCACAATTTATGGCTGTTAGAATGATGTTAATGAACATTTTAGTGTCTCAGTTTTGGCAAGGTAAAATTTGAAATAGTTGATCTACAGACTTGTTACTCAGTAAAAACATTCAGAGAAACATGAAAAAACGTTACTGACAGTTTCAGAGTGACAGCTTTAAAAGCAATCCAAAATGC